CTCTAGTATAACTACTGTGAAAACCAGTGATAAGGAATACATCTCCTGTCTTTCCTTTTGACCTCAGGGCCCACACCCTTTGGAGGGGAGTGCTCCTCTGGCCCCACCCAGTCTGCTGCTGTCAAACTCAGACACCTGCCTCACCCACTGCAGACACCCATTCGTCAAGAAGACTTCCAAATCATGGCCCTGACACCTAGAACTTAGAACTTATACTCCTGCCTCTTGAGCCTTCATTTTTCTCCTATTCAAGCACCCATTCATTCCCACTCTCCTGCCTCTTCCACATGGCAAACTCTCCCATGCCAAAAGAACTTCAAACCTGTTCACGGAAGAACCACTTTTTCCTGGGTGCTGGGAAATGCAGAACAGAGATTCAGCAAGATTAAAAGTTACTTCAAGATCATGACGTTGGTAATAGTTCTCCAGAATAGGGCAGAATAGTTCTCAAGCATCCTACTGTTCTCTCTGCTCTTCCCCAGTCACCACTCCTTCCTCCCCGAACCCTTCCTATCACCTATTCAAACTCTCTCTCTCTCTCTCTCTCTCTCTCTCTCTCTCTCTCTCTCTCTCTCCCTCTCCCTCTTCCTCTCCCTCTCCACCTTCCCTCTCCTTTCTCAATCATCCACTATGCCTCATTCAAGCAAAAACTGCCAGAGGACAGAGGGAAGTAGAAGACCTGGATGGGAGAGGAGGTATTAAGCCCAGGGAGGGGAGTTTCTTTGGCCATGGTTGGAATACAGAAGAGGTCACTGAAAATCATCCCTCCCCAAAACCTGGAATAAACGATGCTTCTTTTGCTCCAGAGGTCCAGGGAGCCCCCGTTAATCCTGCAGTCCCCACAGCAGCTCCAAAGCCATATGCAGAGAAAGGAGCACAGCGGCAGTTTTCACAACTGGTAAGAGCCACAAAAGATCACTCCGTGAGGCACATACAAAATGAGAGCCAAAGGTGGGATGAATCAGTGATGCCACTCAGTCCTCTTCCCTCCCCACCCCACGCTCCCTCCTGTCCCATTAATGCCTCCACCATTATAAAACAAGAGTGTGTGGCAAACATATACACGAGATCAGACACACATATGTCACCATTACCTCCCACATACATCCACATACACGCAGGAATCATCTCAAGCAAACGCAGGACAATCCCAGGTTTAGGGGCAGGTCTAGACCTTCCTGGCATATTATGTGTCATCCATGCCATTCAAAAACATAGAAACAGAGACATCGTAATGAGCCCAGATGCCACAAACTGTCCCTGACATGCTCATCAATCTTGATGCAGATACATAAGTATACGTGTCCGGCACCTACAATTTCATCCTGATCTATCTCGTTCACGTTTCCAAGTAACATTTCTGGCTGCTCTCGGTAACTCCTTCAGTTCCAGACGTGGATTCCAGGTGCTCAAAACCCCACACCTTTTCAATAGCACCCTCTCAACAAAAACAACATCTCCTTCCTTCTCTCCCGATTTCCTACTCCCCCTCCCTCCCTGCATGCAGAAACCCACGCGCCATGGAATCAGAACAGAACTGGGCTCTATGACACATACACCCCTCTTCATTAAGTCACTGGTCCAGTCCTTCATTTAATGGCATTTATTGAGTGTCTACTATGTTCCAGGTACCGCGAGACTCTAAATAAACCAAACGGGCAAAAAAAAAAAAATCCACGTCTGGGTGCTTGCTCCAGCACAGCTGTGATGACCTTGAACCACAGTTCTGAATACTGAGTCTAGCCCGTGGGATTCCTGAGTGCATAACATGTGCAGAATGGAAAACAGAGAGGGACTGTGTCTTAATGATTTTCCCGGGGGGGGGGGGCTGTCTTTAAAATTCCAGGAAAAGCCGGGATAGAGAGAAGAATGTAGTGCTTATACAATTCCTGGGGGAGCAGTCATATCTAAACTTTCCCCAACGCAAAAGATCAGACAGAACTAAGCACAGCAGAAACGGATACCTGGGGATGGGGGGTGGGGTAACAAAACAAAGACCAGGATCCTTCTCCACTTTTCACTGCACTTGCTAGAGCCGGACCAGATCATAGGCGCCATGGGAGAGGACTCTGTCCATACATCCCCGGCATCCAGAATCTGCTCCCCCAGCCGATGGGAGGCACTCGCACTGTCACTGAACAAATGAATGAATGAATGAATGAGCTAGGGTTGGCAAACCAAACCTCTGACCCTAGTTCTCATTGATTCCCTCAAAACCACAGACAACGCATTTGATCTGCCCTCCCCTTCTCAGCGGCCTCCAGTCCCAGAAGGGTGGATAGCCAGTCAAATCCAGCTTCGGGTGAGAGACGCTGAAAATTACTCTGGCCAGCCCGCATGTCCACATTGCTTCCCTCCCCATCCTCTCCCAGGCCTCTGCTAGAAGTCTACCTAGGCAGGAAAATGATGCTGCCAGGTACGCTGAGATGGAACTCTCGGATCATGTGCTCCGGAATCTGGATTTCTCCTTGGTCAAGCCTTAGTGTGGGAAACAGAATTCCTGGATGTCCGTCCCCAGAAGAGGTTGCCCCACACATGTATGTCAGTATGGGATTTTTAACAAGAGAAGAAAAACACCAAGTCTGGATTCCCTGAAGAACTGAGATGTCCTAGATTATATACTAAAGAACAGGGGAAGGGAAGGGGTATGGAGAGGGTATGTTGATTAAAAAAAAATAATAACCGTGAATATGCTGACAAGGGAATATGTGCAGATATATTCTTTTTCCATCGCTCTTATTCAGTAGCTAGTCCTGAGATAATCACGTCTACTCCCTATTTCCAGACTAAACAACCCCTTTCCACCATGCCCATTCGGGGACAGGTGGTAATTAGGGTTGGGGTGGGGTGTTTCTATTTACCTTAAGAAGAAGGACTGCCTTCTTTGCTCTCCTCTTTAGAAACCACTCAGGCCCCGAAGAGGGGAATTTCTCTCCCACATCGAGTAAAAATTCTAAACCCTGTTCTTCCCTGCAGTTGATACGCAGGATCTCCCCAACATTCAGATAGAACCAAATCCAGTAAGCCCTCAGACTCCGAATTTATTTTGATATCAAGCCCTTTCTTTGTTGCGAGAAAACAGGCTGGGAATCTATGCCTAGTGATTAATAAGGAGGACAGGAACTGAGCAAGTTATTACACCTCGCCAGAACTCACAAGGCCCAACTGGCTGGAGTGAATGAGGACCAGAAAAATCTAATCAGCAAGATTAGTGATCCCTGTCCAGCGTGATCTCCTGTGAGGACATCTTGGCCAGCACTTTCTGGGAGCAGCTGCCTCCATGCCCAAAGGCTCCAGAGGCCCCAACGGGGATCCTCTTCGCCACGACTGAGCACTTCTCACTCTAAGAGAAATTGCAGTCTGCATCTAGGAAAGACTTGGCTAGAAAGGTGCGGGTGAGAATGGAACCAGGAAAGCCTGCCCTTTTGCAGGGTCCATTACCTAGAGTGGGGGCCAGGGAAGTGGATGAGAGGCCACTAGTGCTGCGACGAAGCCATCCTGGGATTACTTGACTCCTCTCTGACAGACAGAACTAAGGGCCCTTCTTTGCTCTCTGCTTGTCCCAGCTCAGTTACCAATAACAGAGCATTGTTTTACCATCAAGAATCACCCGGTATGCCACACAACAAAATCAACCCGATTTTCCATTTCTTCATCCCAGGACTCATCTCTGGCATCGACACTAGCTAGAGGCAGCAAAGGTGGAGAACTGAGAAGCTCATTTGGACCCCAAGTCCTGGTGGTCGCCCACTGTGCCCCAGTTCTCCCTGAGGCCTTTCTTTCTAAGTGACTGGCTGGTGTGTGAATCAGACCCACAACCCAAGGTCAGGAGCCTCCGCTTACGGCCACAGGTGAAAGAATACAAGTAGAAGCATCCCGCCCTGGGCCAGAACCAGAAATGGAAAGCCACTGGCGCGCACAGATGAAGATGCTAGGGAGGCAAGAGGCTTAGGGACTCTAGTTGCTGTAGTTTCTCACTAAATATCTACAGCTTCTTGCCTGGGGCTCTGGGGAGTCCTGTCAGGGAGCGGACCCCCTTTTCCTTGTTCTCGGATTCAGAAACTATCGCAGCCAGGCCAGGAAATAAACAGGATGCACGCTGCGTCTTTGACCCAGTCCTCTTGTTCTTCTTTGAGGAACTGGAAGAAAGTTCCTTCCCTCCCCTCAGGTTGGAGTATGGAATACCTGCATCCTTCCTTTCCCAGTTTATTGCTCCTGCGTGCCCTCAGCCAGCAACAAGCAGCAGAGGACGGATTCGGAGATGCCTCGGCAACAAAAGGCTTTCACAGTTACCTTGTCCCTGCGGATGACTCTTTCCTCACCGTCCACCCCAGATCTCAGGTGAGGACTCCCACCCCTTCAGCATGTACCAGGTGGGTTTGTCATCATTAACATGCCAGTGCAGTTCCAGGCTCCAAAAGAGAGAGGCCGCTCAGCTAAGGGTACCCCCCAACACACACACACACACACACACACACACACACACACACACACACACACACACACCAATCCCCCATCCCTGTAGGATGCCGGAGGCAGAGACGCCAACCCAACTGAGAGGCACAGGTTGGCACAAGTCTCCATCCACGCACTGGACCTGCGGCTGTGTGCCACCTCCCTGCATGGTCGGTGCCCCACGACCGTGCGTGCAGACGATGTGACACGTCCACGTCTGCACAGCCCTGCACATGGACTCCTGTGAGTCAGCCCAGCACCCCCCCACCCCAAGGTTGCCCTCTGCAGCCCTCTCTGCTGCGTGTCGCTGGGCGGGGGCTGCCCAGACGGAGGCACATCCTGCGCTTTGCAACTCCAGCCGCCCGGCGCTGCGCAGCCTGGCACATGTGGCCCGACCACCCCGCGCCAGGGCAGCCCATCTCCTCCTACCTGCCAACCCGTGTGCGGGGACAATTCCGTCCAGCTCCAGCTCCCGCACCCCCACCCCCAATCTCCTCTCGGGCTCCTAAAAATCCACCCCCACCCCCCCGGGGGCCAGCACTCACAGCGACCGGAGCTTAATCCACATCTTCTTGCTGGGGCCCGACTTCAGCTCCAGGGGCGACGGGCAATCCGGCTCCTCCACCAGCATCTCCGGGGGGCTGCGCGGGGACAGCTCCATGCTCAGCCTCGCTCTGCGGAACGGAGAGGGGGACCGGCGCGCGGCTCAGCCTCGGCCGGGCTGGGGGCCGAGACCCCCGCCGCTCCCTCCCCGCCCCGGGCGCCGGCCGGCCGCTGCCCACCTGCGGCTGGCGGGGACCAGCCAGGCCGGTGCGTGTCGGCTCGGCCCGAGCTGGCAGCGCTGCGGCGGCTGCGGCTCCTCCGCTCCGGCTGCCCGAGCGCGCTCTGGGCTCCGGGTCCGGCTCGCCGCCGCCGCCGCCGCCGCCAGAGCCGCCTCCTCGCCGCTCCCCTCCTCCCGCCACCCGGCGCCCTCCCTCCGCGCCCCTCCCCGCTCCTCCGCCCGCCGGGCGCGTCGGGCGCGGCGCGCAGCTCGCCTCCCCCTCCCGGGCACCCACCGCCACGCGCGCCCGGGGCGAGCGCACGCACAGGCCCGGCGGAGCGGCTGCGCGCGCCCCGCGCCGGGGGAGGCGCGCGTGTTTACCCGGCGCGGGCGGGCGGGCGGGGGCGGCTGCGTGGGCCCGCGGGGTGCGTGTCTCGAGTGGCCGTGGACGGGCCGCGGCTTCGGGGGGCCGCGGGCGCCTGGCAGGGGGCCGGGGAGGGGGCCGGGGCCACCCCGCGTGGGCGGCCGGGCGGGCGGGGTTCTCAGCCCCGGTCCGCCCTCCTCCGCATCCGAGCTCGCCCCGGCCCGGACCCTCACGCTGGGCTCCTGCTGCCCGAGGGAAAAGTTTAGGGTCCGGGGCTGGGGCGTGGGCCTGGCACGCGGCCCACCCGGGTTCGATGCCCAGCATCCCACCTGGTCCCCGGCGCCGCCAGGGGTGATTCCCGAGTGCAGAGCCAGGAGGAACCGGGTTCAGTGCCCAGCATCCCACCAGCACCGCCAGGGGTGATTCCCGAGTGCAGAGCCAGGAGGAACCCCTGTGCATCGCCGGGTGGGACCCAAAAAGCAAAATTTTAAAAAAGTTCAGGGTCTGCCCTGAGTTGCGGGTAACCCAGCGCCTGCAGTCTCCATCCCCTTGGCTTGGGCTTGGCCAGCAGGCTTCCCCGGGGCTAGGATGGACACTTTTCTCCAAGCTTTAAGCTTCCTAGACGACAACCACCGGAGAAGCAGGACCATCTTTTCTTTGATGATTATGTCTGTAACTAGTCAACAGCCAGGACTCCGTTTCTGTTACCTCCGACCCCGGTCTGTAGCTGTTCCAGTTTCTTCCCTCTTTTTCCGTCTTCAATGAAAGAAGGCGAATGGCTTTAGAGCCGGCACAAAGCAGACTCGCTGCTCCAGAAGGCTGTAGAGTGAAGAACCTAGAATTCGAACTCAAACTGTAGTCACCGGGAGAAGCGTCCAGACAGGACTCTTCCTGGCCACCGAGTCCGGCCCGGAACCCCTGCAGGAAGCCCCTGTTAGCCACCACCTGTTTTTGCTAAGGGAAAGTCGAGACTTAGAAATTCAACTGCTAGAGCCAAACCAAGCTGCCCTTGGAGGATCCCGGTATGTGAGTTTGCGTCTGCTGGAGATCAGGAGCAGGCCTGAGGCTCTCCACTTGCCAAACTATGGAGCAGAAAAGAAGGAAGGGGCAGACGGAATCGCCTTTGAAACCAGTAGGTTAGGTCAGGCCTTTGGGTCTGCAGAAGAGAAGTCTTAGCAGAAAGGCAGGAAGCACAGAGGCCGGAAGGTGGCAGAGGCAGAGACCAGGAGAAAGCAGAATGAACCTGGGCTCTCTCTCTCTCTCTCTCTCTCTCTCTCTCTCTCTCTCTCTCTCTCTGTCCATCTGATTTCAGCACCCGTCCATATCCTCTTTCCCCTCCCCTTCTTGCCAGAGAGACAGTCCCAGCTAAGGAAGGAGCATCCGAGCCCAAGTCAGACTCCTACACAATCCGTTCCTTAAACTTTGAAAGCCATCCTTTTGTCAATTGAAAAAGAATAGGCTGAGAACTACAAGAGAATTGCTCATTAGGACTAGACCGAAAAGCTTTAATTAGGAAATTAAGATTAATGTTAAGGAGTTTCCCAAATTAGGCAGGTATTTCAATGAGAAGAGGGGGGAGAGGCAGGAGATATACTTCCTGAGAGCTCTCTCAGGATTTCTTGCCAGCAGTGGCAGAACCCACCCCAGTCCTTCCTGAACCCCAACTCCAAACCCCTTCTAAGAAAAGGAAAATTCACACAAGCGCGCGCACACGCACACAAACACACACACACACACACACACACACACACACACACACACAGCTATTTGTGAAAGAGACTTTAGAAGCCGCCTAGCAGAACCTGCTTCATGTAACAACTGAGAAAAGGAAGCCCAGAAACATGATGTGGTCTCCCATGGAGTAAGCCACAAGGTCAGGGCCAAGTCTCAGGGCATTTTCTTCGAGGCTTTTTCATCCTGTGGCTTGCTCTCTCTTCTCCCGCCACTCCCGGGGTTCAGCCTGGGCCTCATTTCCCTTGTTGCAGGCCTTCCCGCTTCTGCCTCCATGGGTCCCTCTCAGGGATTAAGGACAGGGTCTCCCAGCTTCATTCCTGGGCCCAAGAGGGCGCATTCCTTTCCCGAGCTCCTCCTCGGTCCTCCACCCCTCCCTTGCCCAAGGCGCCTCCTACCTAGCCTCACACCTTCCCTTTTCCAGCATCCGAACTGGCCCTCACTCCTTGGAGACCCCACCCCTCCTCGCTCCCCTCACCCCGCGGTCCCTTCCAGCAAGCCTGGAGTTTGATAGAGACCCAAAAATGATGCTTTGGCAGTGGTGACGGATGGATGTGATCTGCCTCCTACGGGAATGCTATTTAAAGGGGAGGCCTCACATTCCTCTCCTTCCAAAGTGACAAGAGAAAAACGCTGTTCCTCAATCTCTCCGAGCTGCAAACTCAGCTCAAGTTAACTTCTGACTTCCTCAACCTGCAGCCTGGCCCGCTGCTCCGGCTTCCGATTCGGGTGGGAGGGAGAGCACTTGACAACTCATTGAGGTGTGGGGGCAGAGGGGGGATTCATCTTCATCTCCTTTGATGACAGGTACTGAAGAGGAGCGGGAGGCCCCGTGGGGAAGACTAGAACTCTCTTCCCCCAACCGCGTGAGTGCATCTCAGCCATGTGCCGGCTTCTTCTCAAAGTCAAACTTTGTTGGGAGAGGCGTGAGGAAAGCACACAGGTCTAGGGTTCAAGGGATCGTGTCCCGGCTGAGACTTCCCTCCCTCCTAGACCACCCCAACTGTTCTCTCTCCCCTCCTTTCCCTCCTCCCAAACCGACAATGGCCGCCCCTTGGTAATGGTCCCCTTGACCAGGCCTCAGCCCCACTGTGCGTTGAGACGGCCTTCCCAAGCCCGGTGCACAGAATGCCCCTGTGTTTTTTGAGCTGTGCTTTTTGGGCCCAGAGCAGCAGCAGTTCCTCACTCAGCCCGCATTCCGCCCCAGGCCTGGTGGGAGGGATAATTCCATCTCGTGGCTGCAAACAAGTTAATGGAGATTCTAATGAAAACATCACGCTAATGAAAATGTTGAGGCTAAAATCTACTCTCTGCCTGCGAGACAAAACAACCGGGGTCAGAAATTCTCCCTGATATTTGTTGCGCATTTTCTTCCCTCGAGGAGGAGGAGGAGGAGGAGGAGGAGGAGGAGGAGGAGGAGGAGGAGGAGGAGGAGGAGGAGGAAGGGATCAGAGAACAGAAAGCAATTCAGAGTTGATTGTGTCCCCAGCTGTAAAGGGTCAGAGATCCTGCTGGCCTCCGAAGCAACCTGCTTAGAATGCTGATGTCCTGTTACCTCAAATGTCCCCTCACCCTGGTCTTTCATCTTTTGTTTCAGGTGGTAGCATCCTGCCTTCACCTCCTATTTGTTTGTTCTTAGGGTCGCTCTTAGGGTCTCGGGATTCTGATAACTTCCCAGGTGAAGAGGCATCTGGTCTTGGAAAAAAAGGGAGAAAGATCAGAAATGCCTCTTAGCCTGGGGCCCAGTTCTGGTACTGCTAGCCACGTGACCTTCAGAAAGTCATTTCTGGTCTCTGAATCTGTTTACAGGTCTGAGGTATAAAAACCTTCCTCAGTTTCCTTGCAGAATTGTCAGCAGGATACAGAAGCCCTTTGAAGAAGCATGCAGGAAAAGAAGAAGTCTGTGTGATTATATGTTTATAAAAAACATGTCAAATGACAAGATTTGAGGAAAGGAGAACAGATTTGTGTTGCCGGAGAATGTAGAAAGCGAAGTGGGTGTGGCTCTAAGAAAAACAACTTGAGGGATCCTCGTGCAAATGTTTGGTGTCTTGACTGTGGTGGTGGATACAGAAACCTATATATAGCAGTATAGAATGATATATATAATATATATATAATAGATACATGAGATATATATAATGAGATTGGGCTGGAGCGATAGCACAGCAGGTAGAGCGTTTGCCTTGCACGCAGCGGACCCGGGTTCGATTCCTCCGTCCCTCTCAGAGAGCCCGGCAAGCTACCGAGAGTATCCCCCCCGCACGGCAGAGCCTGGCAAGCTCCCCGTGGCCTATTCGATATGCCAGACACAGTAACAAGTCTCACTGTGGAGACGTTACTGGTGACCGCTCGAGCAAATCGATGAACAAAGGGAGGACAGTGCTACAGTGCCACAGGATGAGATACACAGAGGAAGAGCATAAGGGAAACTGAGGAAATCTGAGAGAAAGGTTGACTGGATTGATGTCAGCCTCCTGGAAATAACAGAGTTCTATAGTTCTGCAAGATGTTATCATTGAGAGGGAACCAGTAAAGGTACATTGGAAATCTACATGTTTTTTTCTCACAAGAGTGTGTGAATTAGCTATGTCAATAAAAATTTTAGTTTCATAAAAGAGATCATGGACAAGGGAGGTCACTCAAGTGGCCAAGCTCAGGCCTGGCACACACAAAGATCTGAGTTGGATTCCCGGTGCCTCTCGTCCCTGGAGCACTGCCTGGTGCAATTCTCACAGACTCTGAGCACCACTGGGCCAGATACTGAACTGTTAGACCCAGACTGCTGGGCTGAGCATTTTTTATTATTACTATTTTTTTAAATTTTTGAATGAATCACCACGAGACAGTTACAGACTTACAAACTTCGGTTCGTGATTACGTTTCAGTCATACAATGATCGAGTACCCATCGCTCCTCCAGTGCCCATTCTCCACCAGCAATATTATCAGTAACCCTCCCACCACCCCCACCCCATCCCCCTATCACCTGCCTCTTTGGCAG